CTCTAATAAAGTGGAACTTTGAGGAAACTCAAGCCTCAGAGTCTTCTTTCGTTGGGGGTGTTACCTGGAATCCTGACACCAATAGCTCTGCAAGATGTGGGGACATATTTGGAGATTTTTTTAATAGAATTGTATGCCATGTTATTTATGGATATAATAACCCATTTTACACCAAATGACTCACAGATGCAATTTTGATAAACATTTTTTACAAACTTTTGTGAGCCATGATGTTTGCACAGGCGGAGTGGTGCTGAAGCAAACAATGCATTTCAGAATTCTCTATACCACTGACCAAGAGTAGACCATGCATGACTGTTATTCTTAGGCATGTACCTATGAGCTATTTAGGTAGAGCAGATAGGTTTTTGGGCATCCTGTAAAACACTTTTATTTTTCACAATGTCATTAACTGTGACTATTTCACTGGACTAGAAGTCCTATCCAGAACAAGGGCTGAATCCAATCCAACCCCTCCCAATCAAAAAGAGAGAGGAAAAAAGTATTTGTAAAGCCAAAACATTTAACCATAATGTGCAAATCAATTGTGCTTACTCCAATATCCTGTTGAGCGAGTCAACCCAACTTTGTTATCATGCAATTACTATGATAACAAAAAATTCAATCCTTGTTTTTGCTCTTTATTATTTATCTTAATTAATTATCAAACTATTTTCTAATACTGTATTGCGTAGCAATTGCAATGGGATCCGGAACCCCACTGCCTTCCATCTACCCCTCAATAGGGAGAGGTTGTAGTTGAATAAACACTGTCTCTCCTGCCTCCCTTAAGTCATCTACATTGCTAAATTGGAGGGACTCTGAAGAAAGTATGACAACCCAAGTTCACCTACAAAGACTTCAGGAGGATAAGGAATCATGTTGACCCATTTGGTCTTCTGTTACCTTTGCGAGAAAAGATCCCTGTATGGGCTGCCATGTTGGAGAGCCAGTCCGTACCCTTTGCTACTGATGCTATTTCCAATCACAGTCACAGAGCACTCATCATCTGTCAAGGCTGCATATTCTATCACAGCCACATCCCACAAGAATGCGTAGCTGCCTTTCTTGGCCTGCAAAAAAAGATGTAGAAAATAATTTTGAAACATAAATCATGTATGCTCAAGCCTGCCCTTTCAGAACTGATCCAGAGGTGGGTTCCTACCGCTTCGGACCAGTTCGGTTGAGTAGGTAGTAGCTTGGCCTGCCACACCCCTGAACAGTTTTTTTGGGTGGCACATTGTTCTTGCATGCGCAGAAGCAATTTATTAGTACTGCGCATGTGCATATAGTGCGCATCAAGCACGCATGCGTAGCACATCTCTGAGTGAACCGGCAGTAGCAGCAGCTGGAACCCATCCCTGAACTGATCCACATGAGTTTCATGTGGTGGATGTGTAAGAAAGCAAGGAATTACTGGGTTCATAATTGGTTAAGATGATAACTGAGGAACATAATTGAGTTTAAACCAGAAATATGTCTTTTAGGTATGCTGTCGGAAAGTTATGACAAAGCAACCAGATACTTAATGTTACATATATTGACAGCAGCAAGAATCATATGTGCTAAATATTGGGAAAATGTGAACACCCCACCGGATGATGATATTAGGAAAATTTGGGATTGTGCTGAAATAGATAGATTAACCTTAAAAATTAAAGATAAAAAAGACTAAAATATTATAGGATATGGAATAAATATTATGGATGGATAGAGACAAGAGGTAGAAATAAGAGAGAAGTTGACAAATGTCAATAACTGTTAGTATGGAAAATAAAGAAATTATAGAATTATGGATATAAATATGGAAAAATTGTAAATAGGCTAATATAAGCTTTAGTTAAAGCTCATTTTCTTTTCCCTTTTTTCCCATTGGTTGTATTATTATAATTGCTGTAAATATATTACTGTTATAGTTATCTTGTTAAGTATTTTAAGATTTGCTATTGATTTTTCTTTGGCTTTCCTTTATTTGTAATTNCAACAAGACCACCCTGTATTTCAATGTCCACATCTCCACCGAGCGGACCTAATACTTCCATGCCTCCATTTTGACCTCTTTTCTCTTTCTCCCCCATTGTCCATGTTTTATACTCCCTACCCGTAGCCGTGGTAAGAATAAACGTTATGGACCTCTTTCGGTGTTTCTTGATGACAACGGTTGCTGCTCCACCACAACTCAAGGGCGGCCACCAGGCAGGCCAGGAGTAGGCCGATGGCTAAGATGCAGAAGACCCCTGCAAAGCTGTGCAGCTTCAAGGCTTTCCCATCTGTCTGAGCGTTGGTGTGGCTGTTCAGGTCACAGCGTCCCATCCGTGGCCACCATTTCTCCTTGAAGACATCCAAGTACCCGGCTTCTTGTAGTTCTAGAATCCTGCAGAAGTTAGATCAGAAGAAACCAGAAGCTGAGAATGCCTACGCAGAGCAAGGTGTAACAGAAAAAGTAGACATTGAAAGTCGGCATGAATTGTAAACTGGTTTTTCTTTGCGTGGTTAATGTAAGATAAAATTAGTACTAACACCATTGAATTTGGAGAGTTGGATGTAGGCATCTTAACTTTGGGTTGGGTTAAAAAATATGTTACCATCATTGATGGTGGTAGAGGCACTACTGACAAATAGGTGGCTCTGAAGAACTGTGTGGCCAAGACACACTTTTTTGACTTTGACTCTTGAAAACTATTCATGACCTCTGCCCATTTCAGAAGCAAATCCCACAGAAGAGTGCGCAAATACTACTGGTTCTTAGAACTTCTGGCAGTATACCATGACACATCTATGATCATAAATGTCAACAAAGCAAGGGGTGTCCCTCCTCTAAGCAGGAGTTCCTGTTTACATGCAATTATTTTTAATTTTAATTTGCTAGAGCAATGAAGTCCTGGTTTTCTTTCAGCACATGATGAAAGTTGATACCCCATTCTTTGGTTGCACATGAAGGGATGCAGTTTCCTTAGGCGGGACAGAAGAACAGCTCTAGGGTGGATTCTTTTGTGACAGGGTGATGCAGGATCACCCATAAGTAGCGCAAGATTACCAATTGTCAGGCCTGGAAGCCATCGTTTGCATTGGGCCTTCAGGCCTGCCACATTTATTGCTGCGGGAAAATGGGAGGGGGGATTATATGGAGTATGGGTGATATATAGTCTAAATAACATTCCTTTCTCAGGGAGTCAAGGACATCTTGCCCTGTACCTGGAGTGGTGTGACTGGGAGGCATCTCCAGTTGGGATGGGGCCTGATTGGGCCATGTGATGGACATGTGGGTGCTGGGCAGGAAATTGAGCTTTCTTTTGGGTGGGGAAAAGCTGGGAGCTTTCAGATTCGGGTTTTCCCAGATGTGCCAATATGACATCTCTAATAAAGTGGAACTT